ATAAAGGAATGCTAGCAAGGTGATTCAGTAATTTAAATTCCAAAACTAAATAGCAATTTGTTATTNTTAATTATAGGCTTAGATTAGCTGCATTACATTATAATGAAAACAGCAAGAAGCTACCAGCAACAACCAAGTCTGGAAAAGAAAGGTATGCAGTTTCTTTTCCAAAATACAAACCACAGGGTGGTCATATAGTTCGGCAAATAATGGCCCCTTCTACTTATGGTGTAAAACTTACATCATTACACTAACATTATAATCATAATCATAGAGTATGTGCAAGAGTTAATTAAAGAAGCCATAAATCTGGCCAGTAATGATGATTCTCAAGCAGCTGCCCAAGATTGTTTTTTTGATGAGATATGCAGGCAAACTGAGCCACTGTCTTCTTCATGCATTCATCCTGATAAATCTCAAGCTATTCAAAATCATGAAGGCAGATTTAACTCTTAATCATAATTAAGATTATTATTACAGTCATAATTACGATTATTATTATAGTCATAATTAATAAATGATCCCCATTAATCAATAGTTGGGTATTTAAATCCAGTGTATGTATTTGATGGGTCAGAAAATGTTAAACGTAGTTTATTGACAGCACAAGACGGAAGTACTACACGTAGGACTCTCCCAAGCCAACCCCAACACCATCGTGATAATTGCCTGTATGCGGTGTATCTGTATTTCCTATGCATGATGAATAATTATGGTTATCAACAGTTGCACTATTACTTACTCATTTGTGACCATAATTGACAAAAGGGCCCTAATGGCGGATTTTAAAATTGATCTTAATAATGGCAAATATCAACCTGTGAGTGCTTTGTTAGACAATCATTGTTTCTAAAAGTTTCATGGTAACTTTTTGCATCCTGTGGAGTAATTTTATGATAAATGGGGCTCAGGAAGTTGGATTTCTTAGGCAAGAAAGACAAATTTCACTACCCGCCATAAGGTACCTTTTGTCAATTATGGTCACATTTATTGGTGCTGTATATGGTCCGTATTGCTGCCTGTAATTAAAATAAGCTGTTTGCAACACCCACATGTTTAAACATACAGTTGAAAATCCAGGATGATGTGTTATACATGGTACTGCATGTGAAGGATCAGGTTCAGCTAATTTAGCCAATATTACATGTATTTCTTTACAACATATGTTTTCTCTATATGTTGGCATGACTACACAGTTACTACACAAGCACCTTCGGTAAGACAGAATCAGTACATCATAAAGGACTGTAAGCTTACCAATCAGTATTTAACAGCCTTTCTGAGTCTTCTTCCTCAATTTCTGTACTTTCTTGACTCTCAGAGCTTGACAAAACTGGTTCATAGTTGTAAGGTTGGATATTATCGAGATCAATGTTATCTTCAGATGTCCAAGAGGACCAAGACTTCAGAATCAGTGTCACTAGCCATATACCACATATACTGCACTGCAATGACTCCCTCTAGTGATGTCACACAAAGCCACGCCCGCAAACCGGAAGTGAATTGAATGCAGCAGTTTTGCAAGCTCATATCTCCCTGCATAATTTTTTTTGAGCTTTGAAAATGAATATACATTGCTTTTGGACATAGATCTTTCCATTAAGCCAATAATAAAAATTCATGAAAAATAGACCGGACTTACCCTTTAAGACAATCTTTTGACAG